GGACGTAATTCTCATGGAATCAACAATAGCTTGCATCATATACTTGACGAAGGAGGGAAACGGGCTTGGTCTTGCTCATGCCACCACCCGGAAGTTTCTTTTGAAGTATCGAAGTAGTTTGGGAGTAGAGAGTTGAAAGTTTTGTTGTGAATGGTTTGGGAGTTTTTTGGAATCCAGGGTTTTGATTTGGGGTTGTAAGATTTTGAACGTATTTAATACGTGATTAGATATTTTAATTGGTTTTAGAGTACTATTCAAAATTCTCATTTTTTGGGGGGATTTGATCTAATTTTCCCATACCATATTACATTCGTGATTCATTAGGCCAGCAATTACATTCGCCTCCACTCCGTCTCCGACCCTCCCATCCTCCACCTCCGTCTCCTCCTCAGTCCTTCTGCCACTCAGTTTATGTCGCCTCATCCGCCATTCGAGTTTGGTTGCAGCTCGCCACGCCTGGTCCGTTGGATACTTGGATTTGGACAGTCCCTGTTACAGGTTGCCGCTTTCCTACTCCGTCGGGCCTCGACTGCCATCTATTCTTCGGTAGCAATAGAAGAAGGTGACTAGGTGAAGCCTTGACACATTGCTCTTCAATTGATTTTGCTACCAGACTTCAACTTCCTTCCAGTATTGCTACCTCTATGACTGTGAGTTGCTTGCTTACTCTATCACTGTGAATATGTGATTTCTGAAGAGTGAATTGCACAATTTCTACAAATAGTAAAGTAGTATTGTCCTACGATTTTTGAATTGCACTGTGAAATGTGAATTGAATATAGTATTGCCCTGCCCCCTCTGTGAATTGGAGTTAGTATTGCCCTGTGAAGAGATTTGCTTAAATTGCTTTGACTTCTTAATTTAAGTTTATGTTATTACATGTATGCTAGAATTTTGTTGGTTTACATGGCAGTAATTGTTAGAATGTAATATGCTAAATTCATGTTTAGATTTTTTTTACGTGAATTGGATTAAGTAGTAATTAGATATCCAATGTTTCAAATCACATATGAAATGAAGTGATTATTTCAAAGAAAAACTAATGT